ATAGTTGAAATTTATCGTTGTTCTTTGTATCCACTGGGAAATTGTCTGTATAGAACTAAAAGTAACATTCCAACGATATCCGCAAGCAAATCTAGGTGAATGTGAAGATTATACACACACACATTAGTTTGTCTCTCATTTTTTTTATCTACCACAGTTAAATTTTGTAATAAATGTGAATGGTTTTGATCTGAATGGGCATCACAGACAGACTTTCTTGCTTCAATTTCACAAATTTCACAATTTCACAAATAGTCTAGACGAAAATTCTGTCTCTATTATCTGTATTGATTAAATACCAAACATATGCGATTTCGCAGTGTTTTTGCTAGTCATTTGTCTATCTTACAAGTAAACCTGACCAAAAGGTACAATCTTTCTAATTTGGCACAAATGTAAAAGTACAAAAAATATTTAGGTCATATTTTTTTCATTTTAGCCCACTTTGAGTTTCACGGGCAGTTTAAAGCTTTTTAAATCTCATTCCTATCAACAACAAGTGCAACAAAAATGCATAAGAAATAAAATTTAATACAAGATATAGGCGTTTTTGGTTTACTGAATATGAAATCAAATGTGTAAAATTATTTGTATAAATAATAAACAAAACTTAAAAATTTGAAAAAAATTATTTATACAAATAATTTCTCGGTTTGACCGAAATTCGAACCATTTTTGACTAATTTAGCACAGATTTGAAATATTTCGGTTGGAATCTCGGCTAAAGAAATTTAGAATGGTTCGTGTCTCAGTTATGCCGATTTTGTTAAAATTATTTAACTATATCTTGTATTTAATTTCATTTTTTATGCATTTTTGTTGTACTTGTTGATGATAGGACATTAAAAAGCTATAAACTGCCCGTGAAATTCAAAGTGGCTCAAAATGAAAAAATATGACCTAAATATTTTTGGTACTTCTACATTTGTGCTAAATTAGAAAAAAATCGGATTGTTGATCTTTTGGTTTACTTGTTAGCTAATTTTTCCTTCCTACATAATTTTCGCTATGACTGTAAGGCTATTTTTTTAAGTGATTTTGAATCTTATTAAGTTTAACATTTCAATCGAGAATATTAAACAAAAGCAAACATTTTTTTCTACACTAACGCCAGCTTTTTCTATGATAAAATTTTATGATATTCTTGTAAAGTGAATACATTCTTTTTTTGAAAACATGATAATGGACTTTCCTCAAATTTGAGCTGTGAGTATGTTTTAAGATTATTTTACCAAGAAAATATTCTTCCATGGAGATAACCGTTAAAAAGGAGGAAAACTCAGAGTAATCGCCTTTCCTTGGCAATGGAATTATACTTCTCTCTGCACGAAAAAAGAAGATTTCATTGCCACAGCTAAATATGGTTTGCTGAAAATATGTTTGTGGCTGTAAATAAAAATTTACTGCTTTAACTAAAACTTTTGCTACTGTTGCTGCTACTTCAGCTTAATAGCTAAACATATATCTACTGGCAGCTATATTTTTAAGCATTCATATGTTACAACGAGATTTAGTTGTCATAACTAATATTTTTTTCCGTGTGTATATAATCATAAATAATTACCCGTTTAGAGATTAGAAGTGCGAGCAGGGATTTATATCCAGAATTTACACGACGTTGATTAAGGTTTATTGGATTCGGCGAAAGAAACGAAAGCTTCGTACAGCCAAATCTTGTATTTCTTTCGTAGCTTCTGTCAGAGCTTTGATAAATCGCGACGCAAACGTGGCCGCTTATCAGATACGTTGCCTTAATCGCGCTGTCGTCCTTGGAGATATCAGCCGCTTGAAGCTCGTTTGCGGGCGTGGCTTTCAAGCTGCTGCTCGATAAACATCCAGACGTTACCTCGAGATATTTTCTTATGCGCCATTATGTCCGCTTGCACAACAAATGAGCGACAGCACCAGTCAACTCAAAATTAACGAACACATACACACGCATTATTTGAAGAAGATAAATTGCAAGGAATTTTCCGAATTTATGTCGTTATCTCTTGCGAGTACTGCCAATCTAAATAATATTCTGCAACCGGCGACGAAATGTAATTTCTTCGAAACTTCGAAATCGAATTTATGAAGGGGGGATGAGATCGGTGGCAAGAGAAAAGGATGAGGAGCTGCCACGTCGAAGCTCTGATAATTATATACGGGAAGGAGCTGGCGTCGTGACGTAATCGAGTTCTGCGACAGACGACTGTCGTCAAAGTGCGAAGGGAAAAGGGTAGTTCCTACACAGGCTCCGCGTGTCGGGTTTCGACTGTCTCTGAAATTCTACGCGCGATCTCCCCTCTGTACTATCCTCGCGCGTCCATTCTCGTGAATAATTCATGCGATAAAACTTTCAATGCCGAGCAGAGGCAAAGAGCGACGCCGACACCCCGAGAACGGGCACAGAGGCAAATCATTACGTTTCTCTTTCTCTCGTTTCAAGATCGATGCAGATCGAGTACATTAACGCGTGGTAATGACGTATGATTGAGAGAAGCCCATCCACGTCTGTGTCTCATCGAACTCGTCAGTCTGTATACATATAAATATACTGAGAGGAAAAATATCTGAAAGATAAAAAATATTTACTCGATGGGCACTATCCATACAAAATAAATGTCTAAAAGACACTTACTCCTCGTCGTTGGCGTGTACGTAAATGTCGCGTATAGAAATGCAGTCGACGTGGACGCGCAAGGGACGACGTCGTAGACCACGTTTTCAATTTGAATTCCGCGGATCCGGGTTTCCTCGGTTAAAGAATTTTAATAAAGAAGGGATGGCTCACTCGCTCGCTCACTCGAGAGTGGGCACGGGTTATCCTCATTGCTGCTGTACAGATATATACATATATATGTATAACGGCAACGTGGATTTATGCTTGCAGGGCTTCTTCCACCCGACGACCCAGAAAAAGGGACGCCGATATTCGGTCCCTGCATAAGCCGAGTATCGATGCCGCGCGAACGACGAATAAATCAAACAAATTCGCAAAGTCGGATGCACCTCTCGTGTATTAATGCGGCCTTGGTGCGCAGTATCTGTCGAGAAGGTGCACGCTGACTCAGAATTAACGTTCCACCGCGTTTCCCCGCGACGGGAATGAACGACAGGATTGTCGACTGTGCGCGCTATCGCGCGCGATAATAGGGATGCAACTTTTATTCGACGCGAACTTTCTCGCTGAAATTCATATCCTGCGCGATATTACGGATTGCAACGCTTCGCGTATCTCGTGGGACAAGCGCGCGATGTTTCCGCCAGCAATCTTCCCGTACGATATCTCGAGCCTGATCCTCTCGCCGCGGGCTAACCCCGTTAATCCTGCCTTTGACCGGTTATTAATCGCATTTTTCCGCGGTGGCCGTCCTTTGACCGGGATACTTGACGTCCGCCTCCGTCATCTTTTTCGTAAAGAAGAGCGACAGCTCTCGTTTGTAACTTTCATCTATCGCGGTTGTCCCTTTGTCTTCGTCGAAGCGAGCATCCCCTTGGAATCGCCGTCCCGGGCAATTTATGAATTATTCACAGAACGGCCGAATTATTCACGACGACGACTGCACGAGCCGCGCGCGACACTTAATTGTAGGCAACCGGAAAGCGGGGCGAATCCATAATTTAAAACGCGCCGTTTTCCCGACACGAGTCGCTCGCGTTGCAATCGCGATAAATAAGTACGTCACGTTTCAGCTTCTGCGCTTATTAAAACGCGAATTCTACGGTGAAGAAGATAGACTAGAAAAAACACGTGCATCTCCGTGTCAGAGATAACGGTGTCGCATTAGATGGATAGAGGAGAGTTGCTGAAATCGTACCTCTTCTCCTAAATCGTACCTCATTCATTTCTTTATCATTATTGAATATGAAGACATTTAATGGTAAAAATAAAAAAATAAATGAGCAATGAGAGATATAGGTAAAAAAAATGTTCAATTATATCTTATTTTGTGCGTGCTATAAACATAAAAAAATCAGTTACGATTGATGAGGTGACCGACATAATTTCGGCAATTCTTCCCTACACTGAAAGAAAAAATATCTAAAAATTAGTGAAAATTTATTCGGTAGATACTAACTTTAGATATTTATCTAAATCTAAATTATTTTATTTAAATAGAATAATTAGTTGAAAAGCTAAGGTTTTTCTAGGAAAATATATATTTTTAACAGAGAAAATATATATTTTCTTATTGAAAAAACATTTATATTAATATAAATAAATATGCTATTTATATATAGTATCTATCAAATAATAATATATATTATAATTAAATAAATATATATATTATTTCTTAAGTATTCTTTTCTCTCAATGTATCAGTGCTCGATACAATAAATTTGATCGATCTTAATCGCAAGCACGTTTTATCAATAAGGTTCGAATGTTCTCCTTGTTTCTTTCATTGCTTTTATTAAAAAAATTCCATTCTCCGCGATTAAATCGCGCTCTTTACGTTTTCTATTTGGCACGCTCCAGTCGCTACGCAACTCAGGCACGATGCGACCAGATGCAGCTGTTATCGTACCTCCAGCAAGATGCACGATTCGCCTTTACCGAGTTTATTCCTTTGCGCCAAGTCTCGCGTGAAGTTTATTACCGAACACTTGACTTGCGCGATATCGGGATATCTGTATGAACGAGCTTCATCGCATAGACTTCCTTCACCCTCGCACACTACGTCCGACCGCTCTTGATATCGTATTATCATCCCACGAATAATTCAACGTGCTCGCGGAAAAGCTTCCGATTATTTACGATCCCGTTATTATTTGAGTCTCGCTTCGATATTCACCGCGCTCTGAGCTTATCTTTTCTTCGCTTTCATTCTTCGTGCCACTCATTTTTCCAAGGATGTTACATTATTCTTTAATCGCAATCAAGGACCCTGAATTATTGTTCAATTATAATTTTTGCTTATATAAATGATTCGTATCTTGCAGTGTAAATTAGATTTTAATCTAATCCTCTTTGCGGATGAATTTTCTACTGACAGGCTATACTCTTGTTTCAGCCTCTTCTCCGACCTAAGAAGTCTAGCAGGCACGACTCTGATGAATCTTTTGGCAGCCCTTTTCATGGTTCAGCTACTCTTCATCGTGGGAGCTGGTGGTGTACAGGTAAATTTCTACCATGCTTCTTTACTTATTTATCATGAGGCAACTCTCAGGTATTTACATAAGCGCGGTCTTTAGAGGTTAGATGAGAAGATTCATAATTAATTATAAAATATCGTGCTTGTTATATTCACTATAGTTGCGCCGTGATGCAAATGAAATGCATTAAAATACGATTCCTTAACGTGCCATGAAAATGGGGTGGTCTCAGAAAAAACACAAAATTGGTTATAGTTTAAAATTGGTTTAGTTTCAGTCGAATCTTGATTCGCGATAATCATTCAAACGCGGATCAAAAAGCCAGACATATATGTTGATGTAAAACTATTCATTTAGAAAATTCTCTGATCAACGACAAAACGGTTGTACTTCTCCTCGAATCGCCTTGTACGGACACAGTGTAAGAATTCTCTCGGATCTGCCAAGGTGCGAATTCCAGTGGCTACTTTGGTCTTATCGCTCTAAGAGTAAACGAGAAAGAGAGAGAGGGAGAAAGGAAAGAATTTCGCTACCTCTTTATATCGACAGAAGAACGAAGAAAACCTTTCGTCAGGACTTCTAACGTTCCGCGTACCTTCGACACTTAAATCCCCTTTAATTAAGTCCCGAGATCCGCAAGCTCGTCGTTGTGGTTGCTGCAGGACGCGCGAAAGGATCCTTCGTGGTCGTTCTTTCCCTCATTTCGCCGGAAACATCTAGACGGCGACGTCCAGTGATGTGTGGTTGAATCTCTATTCTTTAAAGTTTCCCAGTAATTCAACCGTACAAAGATTCGGATATTACTTCGGATATTACTTGAAGCTGCGGAAACCCTTGAAAGTTCTGGAAAACCTGTCTTGAGAGTCTTGAATGTTTATGTACTGATAGATAATAGATATCATAAACTGCACGTGGCTGTATACATAAATGTACTTAGGGAAAATATTGTAGTAAAAATTACAAGAAAATATTTCTAATCTTGTGTGTGTATGTGTGTGTATGTGCATCATGCAAGATTATAATTGAAATTATTGTTTGTTTGGAAATGTCATGTACTTTTCATTGCAAAATTATTTTAGTTACTTGAGTGTTTTTATATCGTCTATCAAGTATAAATTATCAGACTTAGTCTTTTTATAGGATTTTGTATTATAACTTCAGTATATATTCCAAGCTTTATATATACAAAATACATTGAAAGAAGAAATATAATTTTAACGTAATTTTTGCTAAATATATTCTCCATGTACACACGTGGATTATATCGTAGCGAAACAACAGTCGATCTCCAAGATTTTCAAGTCATTCGAAACCTTCAAAATTTGTTAAGTTTTTAAATCAAGTCTGTCGAGATTTTCGGAATTTCAATTTTCAAGACTTTCAGGACCGATGTTCTCAATTATCGAAATTCTCAAGAATCTCCGGCTTTAAGCAACGATTCGAGACTTTCGCCATATATCCGAAGTGATTTGACGTGTCTTGACTGCATCACCAGCATCAAGCGTCTCGGTAATCTGAGTAGATGCCTAACATAGCCATCGGAATATCTCGCGGAGCGGGCGAACTGTGGCGTCCGTGGTTAGTGGCTAACGAGAGAAGGCATTCCAGATCCTTTTGCCGCTCTCTCATGCGGTTATATCTCGCGGACGGTGAGAGAAAAGCCACGCGAAGACGAAGGGAAGTGTCATCCGGAAGCTCAAAGCGGAAATTACCGACATTCCCGCCTCCAAGTTTTAATTGCGTGCCGGTGACGTAGTACTTTTCGTTGTGGGCGATGCTGACGCAACGGGATTCGCCAGATAAAAGTATTTCTTGTTTATTCACGGCTTTCGACATTGTTGCGCAATAACGTTCATTTATTTTGCTATCTATGGCCCGTTTCCGTTTAATTAATGATAAATCTCTGTTAATCTCCGACGAGATACAAACACGACGTTACCAGTTATTCTACATTTGTATTATTATTAATCCTCTGTATCATATTAATCTAGAGCGTAATTTGAAAGCTTCGTTTATTTTTAGTCAAAAGAGAGAGAGAGAGAGAGAGAGAGAGAGCACAGCACAGATTTACCAGTTTCGTTATTTACATTTGTTGGGAGTTTGGTCGTCTTGCGGCTCCATTATTTTCTTTAATAACGTGACGGGGGTGGGAGGCGCGTTCTGTTCTCTTATTATTAATGATTCACTGTGTGCCAGCGAAGTGAACTTCGCCCTCGGCGTCTATCAAATGGGAAAACGTGGTATACCGGATGTTCCAGGAATGTGATATATTGCTCGGCAGGTTTAACATCAAATAACTCTCCGCTTAGATTCGCGGTTTTCTTCTGTTTTTCTTCTCTTATCTAAGCAGAAATGATCTCGGGCGATGTTCGACGAGTGTCCTTTTATTAAGCGTCTGGTGCAGATATTTAATTGGTATGATAACAACCCTAGAAGAGCCCGTGTTATCATGTATAAAAACTACGACGAATATTGCGAGTCGAGTCGTCACTCGTAGCGAATATTATATTCACCGGAAGGTAAATTTCGCTCGCATTCTTCTGGCAGAAATGAAAGATATATCGTACGCGCTTTCAAAGGGATGGCGGACGTGAAGAATCTTTCACTCTCTCCGGCTTCAGCTACGAAGAAGCAAGCACGTTCTTGTTTCATCGTTCACAAATGGAAGAAAGATACGGCGCACCTGCAGCGATATGCTTTCTCATCGTAGTCGCAATTAGAGAGAAAAGAAGGAGAGAGGGAAATGAGAGAAAGAGTATCTACGTGAAAAAAATCCGTCCGGAAACAAAAATCTTTTTAGGTCAAATGTTATCCACGCGCCGTGATAGTTGTGGCAGCCATTGCAATCGTGGCGACCTTTGATCCTTTCGCGATTCCCGCGGGCTGCATTTCGCTGTAGAAATGTAGACGAGACACGAGAATCTTTTCAAGCTAAACGTTAATTCCCTAGTAATGATACAAGTCAGTGCTTGAGTGGGTGAACGCAAGTGACGACTTCTCGAGGATTTTTAGGTCGTATTCGTCTCGATCTTTTTACCTAGATACGTATTTACGAAAAATCATAATCGAGCGAAATTGTGGATATAAAACGGTGGAAATTAATTGAAATGGCGCACTCACACGTGTGTGTGTTTAAAGCTATGTTTTCTCTCATCCCCTTAATTACCGCAATTCACGATAAACGGTCCGGCTGGAAGATACACGGAGGCTGCTTTATTTCCTGCGGAGACCCTTGGTAAAATCGAATCGGTCGGTTTAGACCTTACTCTGTGCGCGCCATATCCACAAATTACCGATACCAGCCCGGGGCGGTGAATAAAAAGCCGGAAGTAAGCCGGAAATACTGCGACGATTTCGCGCACCAGCGGGAGGGAAGGGTCGTTTAAGTCGAGTCAGTGGTTTTTCTACGAGGTGCTAAATTTCACGACCGCGAACTGGGTGACGTTGGTTTTACGTCGCCACAGTGAATTCCTGTGAGCGAGCAGCGTGTTTCTCCGCGCACGTACGCTGATTCCGGAGGAAGAAAAATTCGTGACAGCGGATAAGCGCGTGTACGAGCGGCCGCTCGTTGGATGTTCCGACGGGTGGAGGTCGGGGTGTCAATCCTCCGACAAGATCCGCTCTCTCGCGAACCATCCACCCTTGTAATTGTGGTGTTGTCTCGTGTTAGGTAAAGATGTATTTATATCCGCCATTGGACGAGGTTTATTCGCGAATGACGGACGAGTAATTTTGAATGCGCGTTTGCAAACGTATCGACAAGTATAATTGATGATTTTATCCTTATTAGATTTGGTTTCCGGGTTTGAGCCGCGTGGATTCTTCTTTGTTTGATTCCGACGTTTCGCGAACATTTCAGTCCGCTTCATCAGGGAGGAACGACCCGGAAACCAAATTTAATATACATGGACACCGCGAAAGCCTAAAATATCAGATTTCATCCTTGTACAGCGGTTTGCAAAACGATACCACCGAATAAATACTTTTTACTTCTCAGATATTTCTTCTCTCGATGTAATAATTTTTACTGTAAAATTTTCTCCGCCCGCGCACGCGTATAATGTTTCCCATGCATTAAGCTGCGTTCACATACAGGTAATATATTATGTACGCGTCAATACAAAGGCGTATTCAAGCTTTCTCTTTTATAAACACACGCGCGTTCGGCAGTCAATTAGTCACGTACAAAGCGACAACGCTACATGTCGACTCATGACGCATTATCTTTTCGAGATTAGAGAACCTGACAAAACGGGATATTAATAACAACGTTTCCCGTCGGGCGGACGAGCGTGACAGCGGGAGGGGAAGTTTATTAGACACGGCGAAATGCCGTTTCGTCGTAACGCATGACGGAGATAAATCTACCGGTTGCAATCTCGCGACCATCACGAAGCGGTTCGGTGGACAGCCGATTTTATTGTTACTCGGCGCGAGCGCAAGGAGAAGGAAATAAATTCAACCCGCGAGACCTGCTGCTCGTACTATTTCCTTAGTCCCGATTTCGAAACTTCGACACGCGGCGCTCGTTCCCGCGGAAATGGAGTAGGGTAGAAGGAAATGCGGGCGGGGACGCGATAACGCGCAAAGGAAAAAGGAAGAAACTGGGTTATTATTCTGGAACGAACTCCGAGCTAAGAGAATATGCAGACAGTGAAATCGCGGATTGAAATCAACGTAGAATATTAAAGGATGTCAAGGAGTGCCGCAAATAAATCGAAATTATTAATATGAATGGCATACATGAACGTGTGCACGAGAAAAATATAGGAAAAATTGCAACAAAATTTTTTTAATTAACTGTAAATAATTATTTCCATACAGAATTATGACCGAAATTACTATATGTTTGAAGTTATTTTATGTACATTTTTCTTTTTACTACCAAATTATTGTAATTATTTGAATGTTCTTTATATTCATATATCATATAGATTGATGAATAGAGTGATGAAATCTATTATTTCTGTAATAATTTTTGTTACAACTTCAATATGATCTAACTTTATAAAAAAAACATTGTA